TGAGTCCAAGTATGCCAACAAATCTAAAACAAAACGGCTAAATTAAAAAAAGACTCAAGGTGTTGCAATGACAGTTCAGACTTCAAGCCGATTAAAATGCGGTGGTGGGACTGAGAGCTATGCATAAACAAATCCCAACAAACCTCAATGACCTACAGCCGTGTTGTAAAGAAGAGCAGGCCAAAGTTCCCCAGCAAGGATGGGAGGGACTGATGAAGTCATGCAGAAAACAATTACTTCAAGCTAAAAGTGTTTCTTCAAGTTTTCACAGTGCTGGTGACCCCTAAGCCTTTATATCATGGAGGCCATGATATAAAGGCTTAGGGGCATTTGAAATAACACATTTATTAAATACACAGCATTTCCAGGGCGGTTCCAGGGATTTCATGGCGGTTACAGTCGTCAGCTGTTGTTAGCAGTTCACAGATGAGCTGTATTAATGTGAAGAGTTGGAAAGTGGGAGGAAGGTGTATAAACTGAATGTTTGTCACACTGTTTCTCAACTCAAATGCTATATGGCACCTTCTCCCTCATGAGTTATCCTCATAAACTATGTGAGCAAGAGGGCAGAGAGAGACCAAGAGAGGAGAGAGTGTATTTGACTGGAAAGTGATACGGAAAGGGAGAAAAAAAAAGGAAAGAGCATATTTGTTTGAGAGCAGGTGAATGGCCAGAGATAAAGTCCATTCAGGCAGCAGTTTCACTCGTTCAGTAAAGATTCCAGGAGCGTGTGTCAGCGTGTTTGAACAGTGGGTCTGTGCGGATCATTGTGAGGGAAAAATCCACTCATTGTCACAATGTGTAGATTAAGTTGTTGCTGTGTATTTTGTGATCTCCTCTGGCCTTTTTGTATGACATTTGCATGTTCCCTCTGTGCCTGCAAAGGTTTTCTACCACCATCCATTGTCAATTGGTGCTGGAGACACCTAAATGATGGATGTGTAAATGGGTGAACAGTATCACAAATAGTGCAGAAGACCAACCTTACTATTTTTATGCTTAGTTTTTCACAGTTTCACAGTAGTGCATGGAGCTCTATGAAAATTTTCATTTTTACATTTCTGTACGTAGACGTCTTACTAATGTCTGACTAACAGCTGCTGGGTATAAGCCATAGTCATAATCTATTTTTTAGTTCCAGTAATCAGTGTAGATGGATACAACATCTGGTTCTTTTTGAGCTGTTTTCCTGTCTGATGCAGATAACAGAAGAGCTTTACTTACAGAAGATATTTTGACTCGCCATGGCAGGAAAAACACAGGTGTAACTAACAATGTCATGAGTCATGGTCATGGTCAGCAGGCCAGCATCCACCCTACCAAGAACCTGAAACAAAAACAGCAACGCTAAATATAAATCAGCCATTCAGCCTCACTCTTGTGCTTTTCTGATTGTGACTGCACTCTGTGGAAAAAGGTCAAAACCCTTCAGTAAAAATGATAGCCTCTCATGATGGTAAACTATTGAGTCAGCTAGTTGCAAGATGTTTTCTTATGGATAACACCTGGATTCAGTATAAAAAATAAGTAACCCTAATAGTGTTGTCAGCAAGGCAACACTATTAGTGTTACTTAACAAAGACAAGCTGAGCACTCAAAACGAAAGCAGCTGGTTGTTATCAACTTTGCTAGAAATTACATTAAAATAAAAATCATTTACCGCAGCAAGTAAGTTTTAAAGGATCGCTTAATGCAGTCCAGATTATGTCCTGTTTCTTTATTCAGTACAAAAAATGTTATCTTTAAAGATTGCCCTGTCATTACTATTGTCTCCATAATACACAATCCCACTGGATGCTGTGTGAAATGCAACTAAAAACAGAATTCAGTGATTTGCAAATCTCATATACCTATATTGTTTCACAAAAGAATATAGAAAACAAAAACGTTTAAACTGTGACATTTATCATTTCATGTAAATTCTTTTGAATTTGATGACATAAACACTTAAAACAAAGAAAGCTCAGACAGGGCAATTAAAGGGTTGTAAAAGTAAGTGGTACTAAAAAAAGAGACAAGCCGTAGGAACATTTTGCAACTAATGTTATGCTAACTGGCAGTTGATTGGGTTTATATGATTGGGTCTAAAAAGAGCATGTTGGAGAGGACGAGTATCTCAGAGAAAAAGTGTTCAGTAATCAGAAATCATGGACGCCGTGTCCTCCAGACTAAAGAGAAGACGGACAGTCCAGCTTGTTATCAAGCCTGCATCTCTGGAGATAGTTAAGTGAGTCTGATTAATGTGGCAGGAGGCGTCTCTTATTTCTTAATTTTACATAAAGTTTTCTAATGTATTAAAACTGGATTTTAAAGATCTCTAATTCTCACTCTGTCACTAACTGATCAAGTATTTATTAGTGTTTTTCTATCTACTCCTGCCCATCTGTTTTTCCCCTGAACTTCCTGTTCTGTGCTTTCTCTTTAACACTCTTTAGCACATGCGCATGCCCACACACACACACACACACATACATACAGCAGCTGTCAGAACACACATTGATTGGGTTTATAGCTTGTTAGGAAAGTGGAGATCATATTTCAGCTCTGCTCATTAAGAGTCAGCACTGATGTCACTTTGGCTCCTTTTTTGGTTACATAACACACGCGCATGCACGCACGCACACAGAGAGGGCTATAAAATTATAAAATGAATTGGAGCCAACCCTTAAACCATTGACTATACTGGCAGCTTTGTGAACATGTGACTGTAACATTTATTAGCATAAATGCACTCTCATGTGTATTACCGATTTCCATTCTTATTGCTTCTTGTGTGAATATCATCATCTTGATAAAACATCTGCCTAATACAGTAACATTAATGCAACTGCAGCATGATCTTATTTTGCACCTTATTAAGTTAACCAGCAGTTTTATACTAATTTCACAGTGTACAATTTTAATCATTTTAAGTCTGTCCAGCTGGACACAGGATGTGGCTATGAATGGTAAACCAAACAAATCCGAAACTTGAGCAATTCGATAAGACTAATGCAACAAAAACACGGAAAGCTTTGGGAACCTCTGAGAACTGGCATCACGAAGACTTTTAAGACCTCATCATGAGGTCAGTGGCTTTATAAAACTAGTGATGTGTCAGCCTTCGTGACATGTGTTTTTAGTCAGTTGTGCATTTTATCATAAGCATAGTTAATGGGGGTATTGTATTACATTTTGACTACGATTGCAGAATTACATAATCATTTGTTACTGCTCCTACGAGGTTCGGTTGGCACATAAAAACCATCAAAACAGAACTGACATGAAATAAGGGAATAACATTATTGCATTTTGGAAAACAGGCTGTAATTTGTGTCAGGAGCTGGCACTGCTCGAGTCACAGAGCAGCTGACCTAAGGAGAACAAAGTCGGCCGTCTCTTTATTCACTAACTGTGTTGTCATGTGGAGCAAAGCAGTTTGTATCTCAGTAAGATTTACAATCACTTTCTCCTATACACACACACAGAGTCTCCAAGAGCTGAGACAGACCACTAACCAAATGTCACATGACAGCCTTCAAAATAAAGCTCTTGCATAACCGTAAGGGCCTGGAAGCAGAGAGTCTGTTTACAATGATCCAGTCTGAATTTGGATGACTTTCTGTAGGCTTTCTTTGTGTGTGTGTGTGTGTGTGTGTGTGTGTGTGTTGTGTGTGTGTGTGTGTGTGTGTGTGTGTGTGTGTATTTGTCTGTATCTGTGTTTGGTCTCTATGCCCTCAGACGTTGCTCACATCTTTCATCTCACTGTCCTGATGTTCATCAGCTGAGCGTAACATCACAAAGCAAGCTGGAACACGACATCAGCAAAAACAACATGAACAAACATGTTAGTAGGCGCTGGTACTTTCTAACAAAGTAGTTGAGGGTCTGCTTATTTAAAAGTTAACTTAGAAAGTTAACTATAAACCTCCTTTTTGACAAAACACACAAATATAAACCACATGTTGTAAACGAACTATTTCATACTTCGGGGGTGTTAAACTCCCTTCAGTTAATGGGCCGTGTGAAGCTCAGTTTGATTCCATTAAAAAATTCCATAGCTTAGATTTCCTTTAATGTTAAGAAAGCTTGATATAAAGTTAAAGACACAAAAGATTGACTACACAAGATGCCACCCATCCAGGCAATCAACTCTAGAAATGCTTTTAACTTTCCATGCATTTTCTCACCCATACAAGTGCCCACTAGGAGTAGCAGTGGATTTTATTGAAAAACCCCAAAATATTAATGACTAATGATTAATCAGTGGCAAAGCTATCCAGTGGGCTTGAGGTAATGCACGCTTGACACCACTGGCCTGTTTTCTTGACTGCTTATTTAACTCAGGGTCATAGAGAGGCTGGGATCTAACCCAGCTGGCACAAGGCGAGGGCAGGAGGGTGCCAGTCCATCATTGGGCTAACACAAAGAGACTGACCATCACACACTCTCACCTCCACACACATGTAGACAGTTTGGAATCACCATTTAACCTCAAAAGCATGTATTGGGACTCTGAGAGGAAGCCAAAGAAAGCAATAATAAGTCATGTGCTGTTTTACTTTATGATTCTTAGTCTGTTTACACTGTTGTCAGTTTTATTTCCTGGCCTTGTTAGTTTGCATGTTCCATCCCGCCAAATATCTCAGCCGTGTGGTCCTTCACACATGTTTACAGATAGCCATCAGTCTCCTCAGCATATATACCTGAATTTGTTCTTCTTACCTGCCAGAGTGTGTTGTCTCCTTCAAGTTTTCCAGTATTCCTAAGGTTTTTCATGCCTTTTTGGTGCTTGTAGTTATTTTCTGGACTTCAGGTACTTCCTGTGGAGTTTGGACTTTTGTCAAACTCAAAACCGTTCTGCATTCAAGCAATGGTGCTAAAATGCTGCATGCCCTACTGCCCTCATTTCAAACATGCATGCACCTTAAAATGAAACCTCAGTCTTGTTTACAGCCTGTGGGAGTAGAGTTTATATACACACACATTCTCAGTCTGCCACTAAGCACTCAAACACAACATATTTTTATACCAAATATTCTTTATTTCTCAGGGTATAAAACATCTGTACAAATATATCAAACACAAACCAAAGCCCTCGGTTAAACAGAGAATTGTAGCAGTGTTTTTATATGCAGAGAAAATGAAAACACTGGCGCTTCACACAGGCTCAGTGGACTGGTTTCCTAAGAGAAGCTTTCAGCTGGTGTCTCATGTGAGTGAGCTCAGGTGTCCTCTAGGGGGTATCAACCTCAGTAAAACAATTGAACCTCAAAAATGAGACCTTCTGTTTGGCAATGCTTCTGTTTACACTCACATAATCACGTGGTGCAGTCTTGTGCAATCAGAAATTAGGTCAACATGGGCATTTAGTGCTCAGTTAGGTCTAAATGTGCATTAAGTTGCACATTTAGACCTAAAGTAAACAGAGGATCAGTTCTTGTTGTAGTCTGACTCAAACATTTTCCTATTGGATGACTTTAACTTGCTATCCAATAGCACTACACAAGTTACTTATTGATAAGTGTCCTCAGCAGGGATAATTAGGTCACTCTGGAATCCAGTTCCAGCACCAAATCTACTGCAATAGCTAAACTCAACCACATCTCTGAAAACTCATAGCTCAATAACACCTATAAAACTCCTGACTTTGGACCTGCTCCAAACACAGAACATTTCTGTCTTAGCTTTAGAAGAATACCAGCACACCACATGTCTTCTCTGACTGTCTTTAAACACTGCTCACTTCCCGAGACCGATCTGTTCTACATTGCAATGCCTTACATCCATCATACAGTGCAGGGTGCATGCTGCTGTTGAACACTTGGGGGAAAAGGGGGGAGGGGGCAGCTAAAAGAAGTAAAACTTAATCTATGCTGTTTTCTGGTAGCACAGTCAGTCTTACACATTAAAGGTTGTATCACATGACAGCAGTTTGAATTGTAATATCGTATTAATCAGTCAGTCATGAACAGAGTGGCATAATTTGCATACTTTATGGAATCAAATTTTAATGTATAAGGAGGAGAAAAAAATCATCAAGGAGGATTTATCCTCAAATCCAACTCAGACCTATGTAAGAATATGTTGATTTAATGTATTTCAGTAGGTATACTTTTTTTTTTTAAGTATATTTACTGAAAGACTGCAGTGAGCAAACATCCTACTTTCCAGAAAATTTAAACTAGGTAAAAGCTGATAAAGGGAAACACAAGCTATGATAAAGACTCTGCATGACCTTTAGCCTACTTTACTGCACCATCAGCCAAGACTGCACACAAACAGCAAGACAAGTAACCTATTATGCCTTTTCCCCTGCAAGAAACAATGCGTTTGCTATCAAGCCTAAAACACCGTGAAACAGTGAAACCATTCAGTCTCCACTGTAACATCTTCAATATAAAGCTACCAAGCAGCTCTAGTAAAACCCATTCTAAAGCTGATCTGTTTTGCTTTTTCTTATTTTCTGTTATACATCAACTGTTACACTCATGGATGGTCGTATTAAACACAGGCAAATTTTCAAATAATGACATCAGATATCCCTGTGAGCCCAAAGGCTGAGGCTGTTTTTTTACTCTTGGATCTTTATGATGTCACTGAGAGATGATGACTTTAATATGGTAATTTCTGAGTACAGAAGCTCCACCCACCTGCCAAACTTTTCAGACCTTCTGTTTACAAGAGGAATCCAAAAAAGGTTGAAAATACCTGTCAGTTACATCTTACATGGGCCTGATATCATTGTAACTTCACACATCCACAGCCTCAGTTATTTTTATGTCACTAACAATACAAGAAGGAAAATATGTCATTAAATCAAATCTTTTAAACAATTTTAAGACCCTGAACTTTAAACCATTTGCCCAGGCCATCCTTTTTGGTGCCTCATTGGTGGATATGTATGCTGGCTCTTGTATATATCTTTACTCTGTGCTGTTTAGAATCTGGTCTGTGATATGTTTTATGAAGGCCGCAAGCTGAAATGCGTCAGTCAAATAATAAATCTGTTTTTCATAATATAATTATCTTTTTTTTCTAATAAATTCTGACATTTAACTGGGAAGTTAGATAAAACTTCCAAATTTTGAAATGCAGCTATGACAGTGTTCATGTCTGATCTCTATGAATAATTGTGTTTTATGCTACAAAATGGCATAACAAACATTGTGCTCTTTCCTGTCTGCTGCAGTGACTTTAATACAACGGGCCTTTTTAGACGGAGACACTGAAGAAAAATAAAACAGACCCTGCTGGTCTGTGCTCTCGGTTTAGTAACTATGGTGTACGAAGGAAGGTGTGGCAGCTGAGTGTGTGACAGCCACATGTTTTCCATCTTCACTTTTGTTTTTATTGCTGCTTTACAACACATAAAGCTACATCTATTTGAGAGAGGACAGCCTGCAAGCACTATCACAGAAAACAGTAAACACAGGGTTGGCTATAACAGTGAGGGCAGAAAAACGGATGGTTAACATTGCTAGTAGAAAATTCAAACTTCACAGTCTTAATTGCATTTTAAAAAAAAGGTGAAGTCACTTTCTTTTTTTTCTTTTTTTTTGCAAACTTACAGAAACAAGCACATGCAAAGAGCACTGGGTGGGTTTAATTACATTACGTGCTCATAGTTAAGGTTGTCTGCAAAGATAAATCAAACCCACATCAAGCAGAACAAATATCTAACATCAATTGGCTTTTATTTGCCTGCCTTGCAGCTTGTGCCTGTAGATGATTTAGATTCGAATGTCTCAGTTTTAAACTGAATTCTTCATTTCCACGTGAAAAGAGCCACTTGAGTACTGCACTGAGCAACGTTTTCATTTGTGGAACAATGCGATCATGAATTACAAAATGTCCTCCTGCCCGATTAAGGTCAAGCACCAATCACCAGCACAGTGCAGAGATTTATATTTAACCACGCCACACTGGTACCACTCTATTTTAACAGATTGTTCAGTCTTTCAGTAATAATGGGGGCTAGATGAAGATGATAAAATACCACAGCTACCAGTGGAAACCCAAAGTGGGTCACTGAGCCCTGGATCCAGGTTGTATCTTCTTGACTAAAGATACAACTTGCTATTAGAGAGCAGTGGATATTCAGACATGCTTTTTAACATATTATGATTTTTTCTTCATTATCTGGCTCCTTATTCTTTGAAATCTCACTTTTGATCAAAGCACAAGAAGAAAGACATGATTGGCACCTATCCAAAACCTAAGCCTCACCGAAACTTTTTCTGTCAGGACACGCTGAAAACTATGCTTAATTTCATGCCAGATCTAACAGCATAATTGTCCAGATCAGCACTACAATAAAAAGGGAAAACCTGATCCAGGTTATAGACTAAACATGTGTGTCACCAGGAAATACTTAACAGTTTAATAAAGTTGTTTTTTTTTCATTATGAATAACAATGGCCCCAGTTATAAAAAGCAGCTCTAAAATTAACTGAGGGTTGGACTTGTTCTGACTATAATTATAGCCACTGATCATTGTCTGGGTCAGAAACTCCAAAATGACAACGTTTGGTCTGGTCCGGTCTATTTCAGTTAGCAGTTCTTTCTAATCATGGGCATCTGAAACCAGACTAAATTTAGAAGCAAGTTAAAAAAAGGACCAGGAATTGGACGCACAGTTTTTAAGCCACCAATAATAACAATTATATTCTGAAGACAGTCCAGTTCCCCTCCAGGGTTCGTAACCAGGCTGCATAAATCCATTATAGGTTGGATCTAACTCCAGAGAAAACACAGTTCCAAGTTCCTGTTCAAATCTGTACCAGTCTAATCCTGAACAATATTATCACATCTTCTGCTAGTCCCACAATAGAACTGGTTCATGCCAGTTTAATTCCAGGAGACACAGCACCACCTTCTCCTGCAGGGAGGCTCAGTAGTAAATCTCATCCAGAATCCAGAATGGGGGCTAAAAACAAAATATTTTACATCTGTGACACTTCCCAGCCGCAGTCCAGGAGAGGTCCTGTATCCGTCTCCTTTTAAAGAGAAAACCACCTTTCTGTGCTTGTCAACTAAAACCCAGCTGAATCAGACAAGAATAAAGTCTCCTCTAAGCCACACAACAGTACCTTCTCCACCACGACTTTGACAGACTTTTCATCTTGTCCGGTGTCTGTCTTTGCTTTTTTCTGCGTTTCTTTTTCCCCCTTTGGTGCTTATGGGAGCTGTAGTTCTGCAGGCTGGCCAATATGGCTGTGTCAAACACTTCCTTGAGATTTTTTTGGGTCAGCGAAGAGCACTCTAAGTAGGCCACTGCTCCAATCTCCATCGCACAGTCCTGGGCATCCACTGGGTCCACGGGTCTTTCACGGTACTTCGCCAGATCAATGAGGACCTAAAGAAAATTGCAAAAATATGAAATAAATATACTTACTAGTTTAAGCAAATAGCATCACATCACCCCAATACTATTTGTCTTAGAATTGCTTTTTATATTTTAATTGAGCCTTTTAAGGTATATCTGGATCTGACTTTAAGTTATATCTCTTTCCCCCTTGGATGCCTATTAGAGTCAAATCTCATCTTTATGGGGGAAAGACATACAGCATAAAAGTAGATCCAGGTGTGGCCCTTGTGGCTGTTTTAAAGTCAAGAGGGTGACTGCATGTTTACATGAGCACCAGCCTGAGGAGATCCTTCTCACAGAGTTAGTTATTGTTTTCCCTTTTCGGTCCTCTTAATCTGTATTGCCTGCTTTTAGTCTTCCTTTTTATAATTTTTTACATTTTTTGCCTGTTTTGTATGTTTTTCGTCTAAGCTCTTGTTTGTCTCTTTTTCTTAAATGAATTAGTCTTGTGTTTTTGCCAATTGCTACTTGCTGGAAATGGACTGACATTTGTACTGATCATTCAAAGTGCTTTAGACTACAACAGATATATATATATACCCAGCATCATCGAAAAACGTGTAAGCAAAAACGTGAAATCTACGACGGTCAAAACATGAAGTGGACATGAAAATGGACACGGTGAACCAGCGTGTTTATTACACGCTTTGATATCAGATTGCATCTTCATACTTTCATTAAGGGTAAATTGCATCCATGGTCAATTTTAGAATTGCCAGTTAAACTCACATATCTTTTTACTGTGGGACGAAGCCAGAAAGATTAGAATCTGACAACACTGACGTATAGCAGGAACACATTTGCAGGAACCTGCTTGCTGTAAAGTGACAGTACTGACCTCAGCACACAATCAGTTGAGGAGACAGGAAAGATGCATCTGTACAGGCTTTAGCGTTTTTATGCACTGGGTAAGTTGCACAAAAAGGTTTTATAATCCAAACAGCTACAGCCCCTGAGTATACATGCATGTGCTTTTTCCTACAAACACATTATGCAATGCCAAAATTGCATTTGATCATAATGTCGAAAGTTGCAACATTACCAACTTGTGACATTGCGACAACTCTTCTCTGTGGTCACAAAAAAACATCCAGACAGCACGGAGACTTGGACATTTACGAGGCTCCAGTTTGTGGTGCTGCTGAACGATGCTGTGTTTCTAATATTTACTCTACCCTGACTGATTTAAATGGAGCAGACAAAATGTATAAACCTCGACAGTGGTATAACTAAGGCTGCCAAAATGACCATAAAGGTGAATAAATATTTCTCTACAAGAGAATCAACACCAGCTGAACGTCATAACCTTCAAAATGTTACAGTTTAATTCTAGATTCACAACCAAGCTGTGCAATAACTATAATAACGCTTCCATTTAGTTTGTGCATGGTGTCATTGGTTTACACAATGATAAGAATGATAAGAGAGAGAAACAGGCAATAGAATTACATAAATTGTGATTTATGTACAGAATAAAAATCAACACCTTGACATCCTCTCTGAGATCACACTGCGTCCCGACAAGAACCAGCGGCGCAAAGGGGGCGTGTTTCCGAATCTCTGGTACCCACTTCTCAGGAACGTTCTGAAATGAGGCAGGGCTGACGACGCTGAAGCACAGCAGGAACACATCTGCACTGGTGTAACACAGAGGGCGCAGCTTGTCGAACTCATCCTGGAAAGGTTGTGAGAGACCGAGAGTGTTCACACAGAGATACTGTGATTCATCACTGCCTACCTCTGCTTCAAGGCAGTGGTTCTTAAACTAAAGGACGGGCCCCACTGCAGGTGGGATGATGAGGACTAGGAGTAACACAATGTTCAATTAATGTGATTTTGGTTTTAATATATAGCATACTTAAGCTATCATGCTAACCTTTAGTTTATTAAAGTTCACCTCAGATCCCGTTTTACTGTTCATGATAGATAATAATTGGTAGAAGAGTGTGAACTTTATTTCTGCTTCTGGGGTGAAGCCTATCAGAAAAAGTTTGAGAAGCACATTTTATCAAAACCTAAAAATTGTCTTTCTGTTTTTCCTTGATCTCCAACTTTATCTTTCCTCTCTCATTCAATGTCCCACTGTTTTTGAGGGCAGCTGATCATTGTAGTGATAATCTACCATATTATCCCAGCAGTGCACTTTTCTCTGGAAGTGCAGGTTTAACTTTTGTTTCTTGCCATTTGCTATAGAACCAGGGTGATTGTACAACTGATGATGCTACATGTCATTAATGTTTGTCTTCTCTCTCCCAGAGTTTGTATTTTCTGCTGTTTTGTTTGTCTGTTCCTCCTTTCTCCTTACTCTTCTCTTTCCCCTCATTCTTTATCTGGTTGTACCAGAAGGCTACCACTTTCACTGGCTACTAATCAGATCTAGGTTCCATTTTAAAATTTTTGTTTTAACCTTTAGAGCACTACATGGACAGGCCCCTCCCTATATTGCTGATTTGATTCACATATACACCTCTTCTTGTAACCTCCGGGGGACCACGGTGTTCCCCCACACTCGTTTCAGAGCTTGAGGGGACTGACCTTTCCTTGCATCCAGACTGTGGAATGCACTTCCTATATTTCTACAGCGTTCAGACTCTGTGGAGACCTTCAAAAAGCAGCTAAGGACATTTTTATTTCAAAAAGCTTTTAATTAGACCAGGGCTTTTATGATGTATTTGTGATTGTATTGAGTTTTTGTTACCTCTCTTGTGAAACACTTTGTGACATATGTCTGTGAAAAGTGCTATATAAATAAACTTTTACTTACTGATTTACTTTACTGTTTCTCTTCCTGCTAAAAATAAGTTCTTTCTCCCCATTGTCACCAAATCCTTTGTCATAGGGCATCAGCTGATGGTTGCAGTTTCCAGATACTACAAACTGTCTTACATATAAATACAGCTGAAGTGAGCTGAAAAATTATAATTATTATATATTATATTAGAATGTTTTTTACATGTTACATGTCAAGGTTATTACAGCTAACTAAAACGAAACTTAAAAACTAAAACTAGATGTGAAACTAAAATAAAAATAAAAACTAGAACCAAATGAAATGATTTTGTAAACTTCCATCCATTCGCTTCCGCTTATCCTTTTCAGGGTCGCGGGGGGCGCTGGAGCCTATCCCAGCTGTAATAGGGCGAAAGGCGGG